AAACTTGACAGCGTCTCAACTCGCCCTGCCAGACATCTTTAAATCACATATTGATGTGCATTGTGCATAAAAGGCCACTTCGACTTGTGTACGTTATTTTTTTCAGCAGGGACTGAAGTATAGTAGCTTGATTTTTTTGGATTTTGTGGATAGTTTTAACCTTTGTGTTCCCAATGTTTGCTTAAATCCAAAAACAAATGATTCCAATAAAAATTTTCATTTTTCATTCGAGAATGTGTCATGCCACTTACTTGAGTCCTTTATGCTTGTGTAGCCGCCAAGAGTACCGGATACAGGATTCATTTTAACTGTACAAAAATCAAGCAACCGTTCAATTTCAGGTTTAGTCTTTATTATTGTGAAACGGAAAATTTCTTCGAATGAACGAATATCGAATATTCGTTTGCAGTAAAAATATTCGAGCAGATGGATATTCGAATTGCCATAAAAATATATTCGAATTCGAATGTTCACGTGGTGAGGATCTTGTATATTCGACTATTCGAATTCTCAAATAATTGAGCATGGCCAAAAATTCGAATATTCTAATACAACCGTTGTGTTTCTTCGAATTCGACCATTCGAATGGCAAATAGTCGAGTTATTCGAATATTTCAGTCAAATGACTATGCAGTTCCAATTCGATGATTTCGCAGATATTCGATCGAATATATTCCATGATTCGCAGACATTTGAACGATCGAGTATTCAAATCTCAGTACCAAAACTTCAAACTCGAATATCCGAATGTCGATGTTTTGAAATAGTTTGACTATTCGAATAATCTATTCGTTTTTTCGAATATTCCACTACTCGAAAAATCGAGCGTATGTGCTATATCGAATATTGGAGTTATTCAAAATGTTCGAATATGTCATTCGAACAGAATTCTCGAGTATAGTCTTTATCTTCAGTATTATGCTTTTTTTCGAATTCTGCCTTTTTCTCCGTCATTCCCTGTCCTTTTCGTTCTCGTAGTTGTACCGCTTAGAAGACTGCGACAATTCTCTTTTAGAGTCATTTGCTGTTCACTACCGTCATGTACAATTTTTGTATAAACTTAGTAAATTATAAAAACCAAAAAATTAACTTTATCCACGGATTGGACTT